CTGGAATTACCTGTCTTCTCAAGGCTATCCATAGTTTGTTATGGTTCACACAGTGAAGGCCTTAGCATAGTCAATAAAACACAAGTAAACTTCTTTGTTATTTTCTGCCTTGGTCAAAATCCATCTGACATCAGCAATGACATCCCTTGTTCCAAATCTTCTTCTGAATTGGGCTTGAATCCCTGGCAGCTCCCTCTCAATGTATTGCTGCAATCATTGTTAGATGATTTACTTCAAAATTACACTTGAATATGATATCAATAATATTGTTCTGTAATTTGAGCATTCTCTTGGGTCATCTTTCTTTGGAATGAGTACAAATATGGATCTCTTCCAGTCAATTGGCCAAGTAGCTGTCTTCCAAATTTCCTGGCATAGACTAGTGCATGCTTTCAGTGCTTCATCAGCTTGTTGAAACATTTCAATTGGTAGTCCATCAATTTCTGGAGCCTTCTTTTTGGCTAATGTCTTCAGGGCATCTTGGACTTCTCCCTTCAGTGGCATTGGTTCTTAATCATATGCTACCTCTTGAAATGACTGCATTCCCACTAGTTATTTTTGGTACAGTGACTATATTATTTCCACATTTGTTTGACATATCCAATCACTCAATATTTTACTCAAATTATCTTTTCAATATTGTAACTTGAGGTTTGAATTTTTCTTTAGTTCTTTCAGTTTAAGATATGCTGAGCATGTTCTTTCTTTTGGGTTTGATAACTAGGCCTTTGCACATTTCACTATAATATTTTACTTTGCTGTGATACTTTGGCTTATTGTGCCAATGACTCTTCCATAGAAACATATGGGCAAAGTTTAATCAGGTCACAGTTTGATTGGAGGGCAACGAGATGAATGGCTTTCCAAGGCTGCTCCCCTTCTCTCATGTAGTAAGAATGACATTGCAGTCTTATGTAATATATTCCCAGATGTACCATCCTGACAACTTGCCATATTCTATTTATAAGGAAGGTCCCACATATATGCATGAATGGAATTCCACCAGACGGAACACGCAAAAATCAAATTGACTACATCTGTTGGAAGACACAAAGGAAAAGCTCAATATCACTAGCTAAAATTAGACCAGGATCCAATTGGGGAACAGACCATCAATTTCTCATATGTAAGTTCAGGATAAAGCTAAAGAAAATCTAAACAAGTTCAAAAGAGCCCACATATCTTGAGTCAGTCCCACCTGAATTTTAATAACATCTCAAGAACAGAGTTAAGGCATTGAACACTAATGACAGACAACCTGATGACATTTGGTGATGCCCATCTTCCCAACATGGTCTCTGAAAACAGAATGGGTGCATAAGGTAATGTGGTGAAGAAAACTGATGGTGCCTGGCTGGTATAAGATATGGCAGCTGGTGCTTGCTTCAGCAGCACATATACTAAAATTGGAATGATACAGAGAAGATAAGCATGACCCCTGTTTAAAGATGACATGCAAATTCGTGAAGTGTTCCATAGTTTTATCTAAAGGTACAAGCCATAACAAGAGACAAGGAGGGGCACTGTATAATCCTCAAGGGAACAATAGACCAAGAACCAGTGAACATAATAAATATATTCATGTCCAATGAGAAACCTGTGAAATTTGTAAATCAAACACTCCAATAGATGAAAAAACAAATCACAGGCTCAACAATTATAGTAGGTGACTTTAATACACCACTCTCTGAGAAAGACAGATCACAGGGAAAGAAACTTAACAAGGAGGCTACAGATCTAGACAGCACAATTGGGCGACTTGACCTGATAGGTATTTTCAGTTTTCTACCCAAATGCAAAAAGAAAAAGGAAAAAAATCACATTCTTTTTAAGCCCACGTGGCACATTCTTGAAGATAGACCACATGCTGGGACACAAGTCGAACCTGAGTAAATTCAAGTACATAGAGATTATACAGACCTCTCTCTACCACTATGCCATAAGGCTGGAAATCAACAAAAGGATGATGAAGAAAACAAGGTCAAACAATTGGAGGGTGAATAATTTTCTATTGCAAAAGGAGTGGGTATTGGCCCAGATCAGAGATGAAATCAGGAAGGTTCCAGAAACCGATGAGAATGAAAATATGATGTACCAGAACCTTTGGGACACAGCAAAGGCATTTATCAGAAGAAGGCTGATAGCAATACATGCACACATGAAAAAGGAAGAGAGACTTATGGTTGATACAATGGCACAAAACTTACACCAATTAGAGAAGAGTCAACAGAACAATCCTACTAATAGCAAAACAAAAGAAATAATAAAAATCAGAGCTGAGATACAGGAGAGGGAAAATAAGAAAACTATGGGGGGAAATCATGCAGCTAAAAGTTGGTTCTTTGAAAGGATTAACAGAATGGATAGACCGCTGGCAAACCTAACCAAAGAAAGGAAGGAACAAATTTCAATAGCAAGGATGAGGGGTGAAACAGGGGACATTACAAGAGACCCTAATGAAATCAAAAGGATGATTACACAGTACTATGAAGACCTGTACTCTAACGAATTCAACAACTTGGAAAACATGGACAAATACTTGGAAAAATCAATCCCTGCCTAGACTATCCCAGATGGACGTCAAGAACCTCAACAGACCCATAACAATAGAAGCAATAGACAAGGTTATCAAGGGATTGCCAACAAAAAATCCCCTGGGCCAGATGGCTTCACAGAATTCTACCAAGCATTCAGGGAAGAACCAACACCTATTCTACACAAATTCTTCCAGAACATAGAAAAAGACAGCAAACTCCCAAACTC